TCAATGCTGCCTGCGAGAATTTGGCAGAAGCTACTACTGAAGACACAACTTTCTCTGCTCTGAAATAGTGAACAGAACTCAGTAGAATCTGGAAACTGAATGAGCTGTAACTTGCCTTTCAGCTCAACAGTAGAACTTGTCAGAAAGTGAGAATTACTACAGTACATTTAAGCAAGAGCCTTTGTTGCTCTATGCAAAAATGTTTGCCTGCAGGAAAGTAGTGGAAACCAAGAGGCACAGTTTGTAGTGCCACTTCCATTTCCTACACCTTAATGCTTTCTATCCTTCAAATGGAAATTATAGAAAGTCAAGGCTGGAAAAAATTGGCCGGGTTGGATGGGATCCTGGGCAACCTCATCTAATGGGTGGCAACCCTGCTCACAGCAGGGGGTTTTGAACTGGATGGTCTTGGATTGGTCCAACCCAAACCATTCTATGATTCTATGAAAACTGAAGTAATAATTTTGTAGTACTTTCAGGTATCTGCAAAGAAAGCAAAAACACATTTTTTTCATGGCCTCTGTGAAAAATTAGTTTTTAAAATTCCAATTAAATGAACATTTGCTCAGAACTGGATATTTATAATTGATTCTGCTTTGAGGGAAAACAAGCTGGATTATATTCCTTCCATTCTTGTTTCCTTTTGATCTGTGATCTATGAAGGTCTCTTAATTTTGCCTGGAAGAGATAGCAAAGGATGGCCCTTGCAGCAGCAAAGATTCCCACCATGGAGATGAACCTCACACTACACACATCTGCGTTTCAAATGTTGCTATTCTAATAAGCATGTATTTTTAATTCGACTCGCCTTCTGCTTCTTTCTGCAAGCATAAAACCATTTCTTCAATTTCATCTTTTGGCTCTTCTTTTGGAGGAAGAATTCCAAATTTTCTTAATACGTCATTCCATTCTGTATCTTCATTTGGGTCCTGTTTTGGTATTATGGAAGAAAACTAAATTGACAAATCAGTATTTTGATTGATTTCGACCAAGCACAGCCGTTTTTCACTTTGGCACATATGAAGGATGCAACAACTGAAAATCATTAATTAGAAACTGCAATTCTTTAATGGACCATTCTCTACCGTGATTTTCCATTTGTCATTTTTCAGTTCTAAACAGAAATCAGCAAGAAAATGGGAGAGAAAAAAACCCTAAAAATGTAGGCAAAGACAAAGAAATCACATCCAAAATGTCTGCTGAAGTTCTCTAGGAGAGACGTGGAAACCTGCTTCAGAAACTCAGAACCATCAATGGCTCACTTAAACAAATACTGCTAGATTTTTGTATTGGTATTCTTATGTTACTACTGAGAATAAACTACTGACATACAAAAACACGCCTAGAATGAGGGGGAAAAAAAGGACTTTTAAATTTTAAATGAATGATTATTGTTAATACGTCAACATAACCTTATTTATAGCATATGACTTTTGTAGGCATTAAGCCTACCTTTGTAGTAATTTAATTAAGCCATTAAGAAAAAGGAACCACATCCATTTATAAGACTGTATTTATTCTCAAATTATCACATGAAATTTAACTGAGCTGCAACACATAAGGACGTCTTTCATGAGGACTGGAAATGCTAGGCAGATTTTAAAACGGGTTGTTAACCACTGTGGTATTTTTTGCCTTGAAATACAGTCTGATTTTTATATATCAGAAATACTTAATGGCATTAATAATAATAATAACGCAGCATTAAATGAACAAACGTTACATTACAAAAAGGTTACCTGAGGAAACATCCAGGATTTGCATTATATCATTACCATGCCTGCAAGTGATACGTTTGCCTTTCCAGCCAGCAGCTGCCTTGTTATCATTCAACAAATGATGGAATTTAGCATGAACATAACAACACAATTCTAATGATACCGCAAAGCAAATGCTAAGATATAAATGCTCCCAGGAATTTCGTAATGATAAAACAAGTTCTTTTGCATCTTGGATGTAAAGAAATAGGAAACCCACTAAGACAGTAAAGAGCATCATGCTATTGCTCCCTGGGAAGCACAGTGGGTCTGAAACAAGGCCTTTACCTCTGCCAGTTTCTTCTGGCATGAGTGAGGAAGTGATGCTCTGCAGGGCTGGAGTGGGAAGGAGGTGGCAGCAGCTCATGGCAGCTCCTGCACCAGTCCTGCATGGGCTCAGCAGGCACTGCTCCCAGTGCTTGTTGCTGCTGCAACACTCTGGCCTCACAAACATCTAGTGCTTATTGCTGAGAGAAAGGGATTTTGTACTGGAACGTTTTAACTGATTCCTTCTGCAACGCTCAGACATCCATGCTCTGAACTAGGAACGCCAACTCCATTAAATAGTAAGCAGTCACATTATTTGGAGAAGTATTTTCTGCAGCATTGTACCGCTGAGAAGCTGGTTTTATTGTTAAGTCTTAAAAATGCACTAGTAAACTTAATTCTTTGCTTGCATTTTCATATGTGAATAAAGTTAAAACAAGCAGTGTTTGCTCATTCTTTGACTGAAAGAATGAAAAAGAAAAGAGAAGCTCTATGTATAAAGTAATGTATCAGATGGTCTAGAAAACCCCAAAGGAAGGTTTTGCTACAGCATAATTCCCCAACAGTATAAAACATCCTTACATTCAATCTCACTGCAAGCTTTCAATCCTTCATCAGATACGAATTTTGACTCCTGCACAGTGAGGGTCGGAAAGACCCCATATTGGGCAATAAGAGCCCCCACCCCTCCACGGGAACGCAGCGCCGGCCGCCCGGCTCACAGCGCTCCCCGCGGTGCGGCACAACCCGTCCCGGCGGCCTCTGTCCCGCCCTGCCCGCCCGGCGGCTCCCCGTTTCCCCCGGCTGCCCTCAGGCCCCCGGCCTCACGCCCACCTGCATGGCTCCTCACGGCGGCGGTTGGGGCAGGACCCGGTTCTAACGGCCCCGCCTCCATGTGTCTCTATGGGAGGCAGCTGGTGCGGAGCGAGGTTCGCGGCGCGCCGGTAACGGTGCGAAGTGCGTGTGAAAGCCGGAGCTCTGCCCTTCGGCTGCTCACCCAAGCGGCCGAGCAGGAGGGATGCTGAGGTCTGCTCACCTGTGACCAGCCGGTGTCAACAGCAACCCTTGTCTGCGCTGTTACTAGATCATACAAACGTTTGAGTCGGAAGGGACCCATGAAGGCCATTTAGTCCCCTTCTGCAACGAGCAGGGACGCCTACAGCTCCATCAGCCCCGTCCAGCCTGACTTTGGATGTCTCCAAGGACAGAGCATCCACCGCATCTCTGGGCAACCCGTTGCAGTGCCTCACCACCCTGATTGTAAAAGAACTGCTTCCTTATATCCAATCTACATCTCCCCTCTTTTAGTTTGAAACCATTTCCCTTTGCCCTGTCATGACAGCCATTAATAAGAAGTCTGTCCCCTTCTTTCTTACAGCTCCCCATGGGTTACTTCAAATATAATTACATCCTCAAATATTTCTGCCCACCCCTGCTGTGAAAAGCTTAGAGGACTGAGAGGGTAACTTACTCTTTTGGGTAGAATTTTTTTTAAACTACACCAAAACCAGCTACGTTTTCAAATAGATCCTCATTCTGGAAGAACGTAAGTAATGCAGTGAAGTCTTCTGAATCACAGCCGTACTGTTATCACTGCTCTTCAAAGGTAAAAACAAAACAAAAAAACATCACACAAACTTTCGTAATGCTTTGGCTGAATTAAAATCAAGAATTTTCTCCAAGACATACAATTTATTCCGTTTCCTTTTGCTAAGAAAATGGAGCTGCTTTTTTTTTTTTTTTTTTTTTTTTTTTTTTTTTTTTCTTTTTTTCTGCCTGTGAAACACTATTGAGATCCACTGAACAAAATACAGTATCACAAGAACTGGACTTAGTGCCAAACAGGCATTTGAAAGCTTACCTTCTTTATGTCTTTTCTGTGGGGTCGAGCTTACTCATACCAAGATAATGAAAGAATGTGCATTTTCAGTAAATATGAGAGCAAAATAATAATGTGCAAATGTAACACCTTGGCTACATAACTTTGCATTGTTATAAAAAAAAAAGCCCCCTCAAATACAAAATAAATTAAGCTGCCATTCTAAAGACTACATGAGAAATTTGAAGAATATTCAGAAAAAAAACAATAGTCTACATTGCAAACATTCTCATTAAAACAACTCTCAGTGCCTTTATTTGTACAGGCAAATAAATGTACATAGCAGTGTTGGTGGGGACAATATCTCTTGCATGCATACACTGGGGCTTTTTTATGGTTCCATTAGACACAGTTATAAACATCATAACAGTAGGAAACAAATAATTTTAATATGCTTTTAATATAATCAAGGAAGTAAAGAAACATTTGAATTCTTCAGTGAATCTTACGTAAGAGCATTTACATTCCAGTGATTTTTAATTGCACATTAGTAAGGAATTATCTCTGTGAGGAGAACCCTATATCAGCATTCCTGCAGCGTAAGTTCTACTTCAGGAATCTAAAATCCTGAAAAATAAGAAAAAGTTTTAGTTATAGATACGGTATAGAGGAAAATACTTAAAATTTGTCAGAAGTGTAAGATACATGAGAAAACAGAGCATCATAATATTAGCACAGAATTATTTTTTTTTTTCTGTCCAAAGAATTGAATGATTTTAAACTAAAACCTGAAGTCCAAACTTAATTTCAATGTAAAGGTAGATCTTAGTTCAGAGTAAGAGCAGCAGGATTATGCCCAGGCTGTGGCAGGTTGTTGAGTTGGTACTTCTTGACACACACCTTTCATTTATCACTGATAACTTTTCAAACTGTCCATAGATCTGGGATCTTTTCCATTTCTTGCTTCCAGAAATACCTTGCTCTCTCTTCTAGGAACTGAGTATCTATAGCTTCTACTCACTTTAAACAAAGATATGTGGATTTAGCATATCTCAGAGAAGACTGCAGAACTCTAATCGTAAATACTGTGGCATATCTGTATAAAAATAAAGTAATTTCAATGCAGGTGATGATGAAAGCATTAAATAAATACCTCCTTAGTGAAAATCCACTGATCTCTTCCCATTACGTGGCTGAAAGACAAATATCCAGTAAACACTGTAGAAAACTGATTGGTTTCAGTAACAAAGTCCCACACAACCTGATACCACTAACCTTGTTTCAAGCCCTATGTAGCCAGAGACATCTGTAAGTCTCCATCAGTCTAGCACAATGGTTATATACTTCTAAAAAAATTATCTAAAGACTTTGAAATTCTTATTTTGACATAAGATATCTTAGAATACTAGTTCAATACACTAAGAAGATCCTTTTATGGATCTAATTGAAGCAGTGTTTGTTTTTCAAGATTCTTAGTATTTACCATAGTGAAAAACTTATCAGTAGTTGCCTGCATTTGAAAGATTCTAATCGCATACAATCTCTTTTGATGGTTTTTTTTTTTTTTTAATTCCTTTTTGATACTTCAGTATCACCAAGAAGTTTCAATCTGGTTCAGTAATCCTGATTACTTTACAAGCACATAGTCTGTGCTATACAAAATGTAACTGAAGTCACTGGAAGTTGCATTTCTCATCTACTGCAAAGACAAACATTTCTAATGGAATTGCTTGTGGCAGAAGACTTAACAGAAAAGTTTTCTCTGACACAATAGTTTTCATTTTATTCCACTAATTTCTACCTTTTGTTTGGTAACAGCCTAGAGAGAATAGAGGAAAAAATAGTAGAACAAACCATACCCTGAAGAAAAAGTATCCTCTACTTTGAATCCCTCCAGCTCCTTGAAGATCCTCCTTGAAAAAAAATAGTATTTTAGATGATACCTACTCTTGTGAATGAATCCCCTCAAAGAGATTGTTTACGTACTTATAATAGGCATTTCTTCAGTACTACTATACAGTCTTGCTGCTTAAAACATACTGTGTACATATTTCTCTATGCAGCTCATACTCTCATGTAGGAATTGTAGAAAACACATGAATGAAGGCCAAAATCCACTCTGAGTTTTGACTCAGATTGTTTTAGAATTAGACTGGTCTTTGTTATTGACAGGTTTCATCACAAAAACACAACTGGTCCTATAGTCTTGGAGTCTCTATGCACGAAACAGTTTGTACTTCACAGAAGGACAACAATGGGGAAAAAACATGGAATTGCTCAGGTCAGAAAAGACCTTCAAGATCATCAAGTCCTCAAAGCTTAAAAAAAAATATTTGGGCTCAGCCAGGGACTGAGGTCCCAGACTGATCCCAGAGGTACATCCTGACAACCCCTCTCAGAATAATTCCCAAAGAAAAGACTAATACTTATGATACTCTATCCTATTCATGTTGTACACGTTGAGAAACAACTGCCTACTAATCTGTACAGCAAGGAGCAAAGAAAAGATCAGTGAAGAAAACAGTAAGTACAGAGAATGAAGTATCCAGCTGCTTTAATGAGACCTTCATTAGAAAGCATACTAAGCTTAATCACAGTATTTTCATTGTCTGTGTCTGTCCTGTAGAGGGAGGGACAGACCAACTCAGAAACGAAATATTTCAGATCTTGAGCTTAGCAGCACATAGAATTTAGATGGAATGTATTTACTGTATGCTCCCTTAGTGATGATAGTATTTCTCAATTAAAAACTGAGCTTGTGTAATCTCCTGGGTTATGATCATAACCAGAGTAATTATAGAGAGAAATTGCTGCTTGCTCTATCCTAATGCTCTAAGAATTAACCCTTAAATATTATCAAGTTTTTTTGTTTTTTGTTTTTTGTTTTTTGTTTTTTGTTTTTTTTAATCTTTTCAGGTACTTAGAGTGCCTTACATTTTACGTATTTAATTATTTTTCTACCTATGTTATTTTTTCTTGGAAAATAATTACTTCCAACACTTTCTCTTTGTCCCCATGTTAGATTATGGGAAAAGAAAATATATATTTTTGATTAATGAAGTTTCTGAGACACTAGATCAGCAGTCTCCACAAGTCACAAGCTAGGAAATGGAAAGACCCAGAAGACCTGAGCAATATTAGACAGAACTATTTCTTCCTTTACAGGTCAAGGTGGACCAGAAACATTTAATAGGTGTAATAAAGAATTTCCAAAACAACTCACTGTTTCTTAATGAAAGATGGCTCTGTACCTCTTCTTACACAATGACAATAAAATGTACACTGTGGTGTGGTACTGTGTCTTTGCAAAGCTTTCCTCATTGCAAAAACTAAGGAGTTTGCTGAACCCAGCTGGCATTGTTCCTTAATTATCTCACTAATTTGTTATGTGAGATTCAAAAAGATGATACTCTAAGCGATTCAATATACAACATTGAATAGTTGAAAGAGATGTGCTCTTAAGCTTCTGTCTTAACAAATCATGCAAGCAATTGTTTAGAAAAAACAAAACAAAACAAAACAAAACATCACAGGCTGCATGATTTTCTGAATGGTTCTTAAAAAAAAAGAAAACCTCCTCTAATTTCATTGTAGCTCATCAACACCTCCTCACTGTTGAACTTTTCAAGCCTTATCAAGTACCAAGATGAGAGACAGCATTTTACTAAGCAAAAAAAGAATTTCCAATAAATTTTAATCACAAAGATGTTTTCTTCCTGTGTACTGCACATGTATCTGAAAAAACATAAAATCTCTACAGAGGAACACACCCTCCAAAATGCACCATACAGACTCCACTATGGACAATCGAATCTTGATAGGACCACTTCTGTATTCCACTTTTGTATTATGTCGGGAGAAGACAATAAGCATGAATAGTGGTCAAAATAACCAATACTCTGCAGTGAATGTAAGGGAAAAACAACCTGAAGTTGATGTAAAACAGAATGTGGATCTTATGTTTTGCTACACTTTATGTGAACTTTTGGAATTCTTCTAAAGATTCTTATTCTGCACTTTTCTATTCTTTTCATAGCTGTATTATAGAGATGAGCATTAATACCCATCTGTTTTTCATTTTTGAAATTTGAAAGTGCATTTGCAGCAAAAATACTGAAATTTGATGATATTTTGGAAACAACAGAAATATTACACTGAATGTGAAAATCTTGCTCCCAAATAAGCTGTTTTTCTATGGAACATTAGTTTTACAGTGCCTCCAGATTTCAGTAATATGTAAGCGTGAAAGGGTTAAACTTTACTGAGCTGCTTAGCTGACTTCATGGGAGCATGAAGTTATTTTGCACCTTTTAAAATAGGGACCTGATTTTGTACTCGCTGGTAATAGAAAAATACCTTAAATTCAAAGCAAACTTTTGCTTTTCCATCTGCAAAACAGCCAGTGACTGCTCAGTCTTTATTTTCAAACTGCAAACTCCAAAATAAGAAATGTTCCAAATTTTGTGTCCCTCTGATTACCACCTACTTAATCAAAAGTTTATTTCAGTATATTCTACTTGAAGGGAGAAGATGTATTCCTTTTCTTAAGTTTTGCTTCTGCTGATGCTAGATCACGTCATAAAGTAATTCAACAGTACTTTAACATCCATTAAAGGATATGGGAAAGAAAAATAAAGGCACCATAGAAAGAGAAGTCATTTTCTTCTCAAAAGACCCATTTCTGTTGCTTATTGTTCAGGAAAGTGAGACACTGGGCAGAAACTGTAACAAAGAAAGGACTTTCTTATCTGCACCTTAACTTGAACAGTAATATTGTTTATACTTTTTTTGGAAGTCCTGAGCTCTGTATGTCATACAGAACATATGTTTACAGAGTAAATATGGTTTGAATTCCAAATGGGGAGGAAAAAAAAGAGCCCTTTGTATTGTATTGAACTTCAATATAACATATGGATAATCTGAAAGTATTTTTCTTTTTATAAAGCAACTACCCAGTCCAGTTTGAATATAGGCTCAGTGTTGTACCAATATTCTATGCTAAGCATTTATTACTTTATGTTTAAAATGTTAAGTATGACCAGGATCATTTTTTCACTAATTAAAGAATAGAAAAAAAAATGCACATTTCTAATGAAAACACATCAGCGTGACACTAAACACTGAAAATAAAAATGCTTTGAGTAGGAGGGTCTACAAGGACATTTTAGGTGTGCTAATGACTCGCCTAATGTGAGAATGCAAGCATGCATAGTTTAAGATTACATACGTCCACTTTGTATCTCTTCAGTCTTCTCTCATTAAGCTGGGGAACGAGTTGCAGCAAAGGATGCAGGACAGACGACTGAGAGGACATGAACATAGACACGTGAGCAACAATGAAATTCTGATTTTATGGTGCAAAAATAATCTCTCTTCCTGCAGTAGTGGCTTATGGACCAGTGGGTACCAAGGACACAAGGACAGAAGATGTTATTTGAGAAACTTGATTTTGAACACTCTGAGTTAACAACAAACAGGAACATACATGTATATTTGCATGGAATGTGGCTTGCACGGAGATGGAGGGACAAGCTATGCATCCTCACCTTTATTCCCTGGCAGATCAGAGCTGTTCACAGACCTCCCCAAGTAACTGCAGTTTTTCAGGCCTTGATCAGCCTCTTTATGTGATACAGAGAACATTCACATACACCATCCTTAATTTCTTATGGTTAGCTGCTACAGAGGTTAACACCTTCAATCTCTGTTGTACTGAAAATTCATTTTACTTTCACTTAAATTACAGAAAGAAAACGATTTTTTTACTAGAAAACTGTTTGCAGGGGGGATCCATTCTGAAGTAAAATTTGTGACTGTGACACTGGTCATTCTCCATAATAGACAAGCTCCAATCCTGAAATCCCTGGTCCTTGATGAGATTTTGTATGCTCACTCAGAGCCTGGGAAGCACACTGGCAATGCGTGCAGCCTAAGTCCCCAGGCAGTGACTGGTAGCACAGAATCATGTGGGCTTGTGGAGAGAGCTTCAGGGTGCAGAGGAAGGGGAATGCAGTAACCTTTTAAGCAGGAGTAGGAATAGAAATAGCTAATTTCCCAATGCCCTGATTACCATTAAAAGCTCCAGAGAAGCTCTACTGTGTAAATATTGACCGCAACATCAGCAGTACTCTCAGGAGTCCTAGAAAACTGTATCACTTTCCAAGGAATATATAGCCTATTTCTGAAGGAATTTAATGAACAAGGCAACGATGGACATCAACATATAAAAATGATCGTTAAGAAATGAGCAAACACACATATGTTTAACTTCCTCAAAATCCTACAGTGTACATAAAAAATAAACAAATGTGCTGAAACAACAGATGATGACTGAAATTTAAAAGCAAGAGTGGATCACATGATTTATTTGTTGGCTGCTGAGAATATTTTTATAGCAGAAATACTAGACTGTTTTTAAATCATGATGTTTCTCGCAGTGTACTCCAAAATGTGAACAATACTCTTTTGCCTGATAGATATTTGTGATATGCACTAATAGATACATACCATTTAATTAATAATTAATAAACCATTTAATTAATTAATTAAACCATTTAATTAATAATTAATAAAAATGCTTCTTAAAATTTATGGTCATGTTCTCAACTTCAGTGAATCAGGACTGTTTCATTGTATATTATGTTCCATTACCAGAAGTGTTTTATCTTATTCTTAAATGTTGACTCTACAAGACTGAGATATTTGTTGTTTTCCATTTGCACAGCTGTACATCACCAGTGATTGTCTCCCATGTTATTAAAATACACTCTGTATATACAATTTGAAATCCTCCTGTCTGAGCTGCAGTAACTACTGAGGAAAGGAACATCACCTTGGTGCTACTTAAAGGCACACGTGTACTCACATGGAGGTGCTAGGCCACTTACCCTGACATCTGAGTTTCCTGAGTCATGAGTCTTAGAATAATGAAATAAGAACTGTTCAAAAAAATTAAAAGTGAGGTTTTACTACAGAATAGGACAAAAGAGTTAGGATTTTCTTATTAATTTTAGAGTGATCATAAGACATACATAGAAATCTTACCCTTTTCATGTTGTCTTTTTCATCTAAGCCCTGTGGGGATAATAATTAGTAGAGAGATTTTTATTTGTTAAAAAAGAAGTTGTTGATGATTTTATTTCATAGAATCACAGGATACTGCAAGTTGGAAGGAACCTGCAAGCATCACCGAGTCCAAACCATGGCTCCATGCAGAACAACACAAAATTCAGAGTCTATGTCTGAGAATACTGTCCAAATGTACCCAGAACTCCAGCAGCTCAGGGCTGTTATCACTGCCCTGAGGAGCCTGTGCCATGCCCACCACCCTCTGATGAAGAATCTTTTCCTAACACCCAGCTTGACCATACCCTGACTCAGCTTCATCCCATTCCCAACCTGTTCCTTTGAGTCCTGTTATTATCACCAGGGAGCAGAGATCAGCATTGACCCTCTGCTCCCCCTGTGAGGAGGAGCTGTGGACTGCCATGAGACCACCCCTCAGGCTACTCTAAGATGAAATGATGTTTCAAATTCTTCAGTACAGGATTGAAATATCATCATTCTTCCTCGACAGATTTACTGTATGACTTTGCTTATTAATGTAATTACTCTTCTGAAACCCTGCAGAGAGCACTGATAACTCTCAATTAGAAGAATTGATGGGTTTAGTGGGTGCTTCTTGTTATCTTCCTGACAGTGACAGCAGCAGACTCATCAGTAAATTTCTTACCCCATTCAGAGCTCATAAATTTTCCATTCTAGAGCAATAAAACCAGCTGAAACCTTGTATCCAAGCTGGACATCATTTTACAAATGGTGGAGTCTCCCAGTTGTCCTTAATAGGCACTGTATTAGGACACATAACATTTCAGAGTAAGAACTGGCATCCTACTTTCAGCACTGAGTGGCACATGATTTACTAGGTCCTCAGAATCCACTGTAGGCACTGGCACACTGAGAGATCTTGCTTCAGAAATGCCAAGTAGTCTTTCAGTGTGTTACCTGTGGCTTCTGGAGAAATCCCATGACCAAAAAACAAAGTTCTTCCAGTGTACTGGACACCTAATGAAAAGAAAACATGAACTCAGGTATCACACTTTCATTCTTATTGTATAATAAATATCATAATTAGTAAAGCAACCTTTATTTGTCTCACCTGAGGCTGAGAATCTGCGGACATGTAGGTGGAACAGGCATCATCTATCTGTAAAAGTTCACACAGTCCTTTTTCATTAAGTCAGATTAATATAAACAAGTTGAATAACTATATTCTTAAAAGTATTTTGGTTCAGCCAAAGGCATAGCAAATTTGTCCTGCATCAAATTCCAGAAGGAATTCTTATGGGTACGTTCATGAAATATTTTGAATTCAAGGGAAAAAAAGCAAACCACCAAATAAACAAATACGTATGTGCTTGATCTCAGCTATCACGTCTTCTATTCTCTTACACCACTTGTGTCCCTACTAAATCTAACTGTCTCCAGCTAAGACGTGGTGTGATTATCTGGGGCATGGACTATAAACTTCAATAACTTCTGTGATATCTTTGGATTATACAAAATGGCAAAGAAAATGACAAGGCTACTGCAAGTGATTCAATGCTCAGTCCTCAAACACTCCTCTGCAAATTGCATTCCGGTATCCCTTCAGGTGTATGACCCACACATCTCTTGAGTGATGATGATATGTGCCAGCACTTCTTACGCATGCTACTCAATCTGTGTGAGTCACCAAGCACTTTATGTCTGAGGTTCGCAACGATTTCTTTGGCACATGAGGAGCCTTACAAGATTTTGTTTAAAACCATACCAAAACCCTCCTGGCTGTTTAGCTCTTTGTCTTATCCCCTCAAAAGGCCAAACCTCAGCACCTGAGGAAGAGCATAAGAAGAGACCTGTGGTTTAGTAAATGCCATACTCTCCACCCAACAGCAAAATGTACTGCAAGTACTTAGAGTTGGATATAGGGATATGTAATTAAGCTCAGAGGGTTTCTGTTCTGTGAATTTGACCAATCTCTCTCTGAACCACTGTAAACTTTTAGCATCTACAACACCCTATGGTAAGGCTTTCCTAAACACTCCACAAAATACCATTTCTGTTTGTCTTGGTCAGTCCTCCCAAAGCTCACTTCATTCAGCGCTATCATGATCTTTTCTTGGAAGAAGTAACAAAGAAGTGATTCCCACTCATCCCCTACCTGCATTTCATATATTCTTTCTATATTCTTTTTTCCAAGATGAAAGCATCCCACTGTACCAAATCATTTTCAGTGCAGCTTTTAATCAGGGAAGGAGAATAAGTGGAATAAAGGATACTTGAAATTGTGGAAGAAATTTTACCCCAGCTGAGAGCTCAAAGTATTCTGTAAGGAAGAGAAAATGTCTCCAGAACTCAAATAGAATCTGCACAGCTTAAAAATAATAGGGGGAAGGGGGGGAGGGAGGAAAGCTTAACTTTTCATGATATAAGTTTTAAATTGTATTTTTTGAGACCCATTTTATACGCACCAGTCTTTTGCCTTTGAGTATTCATTATTGTTAGTAGAGGTGCCATCATTGTCTTGTTCACAGACTGCATCAAAATGTTTTGTTATTTAATAAAGCAGGCAATGCAATGGGTCTTGTGATTTTTATTGTATGTAAAAGCCCTAAACAGCACTCTTTAGTGAAGAAAACACTCAATGAAAAAAGCAATAAACAAATAATGCATATCAGTACTTCAAGACAAGAGATGATGCATTTCTCTAGAGACAGGCTGTGAAAAAGCATTTCAGATAGAGTGGAAAGCTAATAGCTCACAGGATTCCCCCCTCAAGTAGTTTTTGTTTGTAACACAACCTCCCTTGTCTCTTTTTCCTTCATCTTGCATTTGTTTGTCTCTGGTATATTAGTTCATCTTTATTACTTTCAGACTAAAAAAATTGTAAAGGGAGAAATCTGCGGTGAAGAACATAAACCAAACTGAATTCATTTTGGAAGCCTAAGATAAAAAGGTGCTTTTTCTTCTCAGTGAGAGATTCTTTGTTGTTATTTATTTGTTGGTTTATCTACTTGATTTTTAGTTGGAGGGAACTATTAGCGATCACCATAATTCAACAGCAGGATAAGCCAGAGATTTCTTTGTATTCAATTAATACAAGGCAGTATATCTCTCAGCTAAAACCTGCATGGGAAAAGCAAGAGCTGAAGAAAAGCCACAGTTCGTGCTGATTTATTTTTAAAAATGCATATATAAATTTAATAATTCCTATCGCCTTTGATGCATCTTTTCAGTAATTTTCTCTCCTTCCTCGGAAATGTGGCCTAAGGTTGGGAGCGTGTGTGTTATTTGGTGCTGGTTAAATAACAAAGAAATTAAAGGATGTTAGAAAGTTTCACTGTTTATGAACTCAGAATCATTCCTGGAAAATAGTAGTTTAATTTTGAGGCAGTGCTTCTGCTGAATGATGAACTACTCAAATAACAAGCAGGGAAGAGGGAAGAATACTCCAAGGAACTCCAGTATGGATTTGTTGCCAGGCTGAGCAGAAGTATGTACATATGCATCTAACTCTCTTTATTTAGACCTTAAGGCTCTCCTAGTCCTGTATTATTCTTGTTAAGCAGTATTTTACATCACTCGTGTTACATAATTTTACACAGAATTTAGTGTCCATACGCATATATTTTGTTACCGAAATTGACAGTAACTTTGCCTTTTCCTTCAGTAATCACTGACCTTAATCCAATGCTATAAATAACAAATCCCAATAATAAATGCAAAACAGCATATTTTCAGTCTGGAATTTACATAACTCATTTTCACAAACTCTTTGTAACCGTTAGGATGTTACTTCCCAAGAGATCACTTTTCTCCCAGAAGCAAGGTATCACCAGGGCTTGTTCAAGTGCCATGCTAGGAACATGACAATGGTTGAGTCAATACTTCCGAAATGTGCTGACAGCAAGGAAGAAATTTACACTGTGCAGCTGTACCCAGGGTGAGTCACTTGCTTTCTAATGTTATCAGAAGCTACAAAATCAAATATCAACAGAATACTTGAAAAATTACAGCAATGGCAGGACACACAGCTTGCAAGCTGAACCCTCTCTCTGTATTATGCTCTGCTTCTCCATCTGCTCCAAAAGGGCACAAAAGAGTTCATGCCAACAAGTAATATCCTGGAGTAAATTTCAGAGATGAGAATTAAAGTTATAGCTGCAACTGGTAAAAAAATGTTAGAAAGGCAAACTGCAATAGGATGTCACCCTCTACCTAGTGAATTAAAATGCTAAGATGTGATTGAATACTGTGTCCCAGCCCTGTCTGCAGAATGGAAGAAGCCAGAGACTGATTGAATGAGTTGAAATAGTTAGTGTCTATCATACACAAACTATAAATGTATCGACTGGGACACTGTACTGCTTCCAGGAACAGCAACCTCCTGGTCAATGACAGCTAGAGGATAACTGTCACCAAACATAGCTCTCCACTGAGCCAAAGCAGTCTGTTCCCTGAATGAAATCTCAACATCCAGTCTCTGGATACTGTTCAGAAATCTGGAAAATTACGTATTTCACATCTTCACCAGTGTCAGAACAGGTATGTGGGAGAAGTAGGACTGGAAGAGGAAGCACCTGAACACCATACTAGAGAAAGCATAAGAGGGAAAGTGTGACCACAGAAAAGACTGGAATAAGAAATAGTGTTAAACTTGTATCCCTGTCCTACCAGGATAAGCTGGCAAGGACGCTTCCAGCCCTCACGCTAGAGCCACGGGTTTTCCACAGTTGGTAGAGACAGCCTGCCCACAGAGCTCACCTCCTTCCACAGCTGCAGTTCCTGCTCTGCCTCCAACACTTGGGATGGCATCGGAACACCTGGAAGCACAAACACTGCTTAGCAATGCTGCACAGCAGGGGTCATTCTTGTGAGCATCCTATGGCAGTGATGGAAATAAAAACACTCTGAACATGCTGTAATGCCCACTAACTGCAAAGCCTAAAAGCAGTGCGTCCCAAGGAAACTTGCTGCTCTGGGCATGATAAGGTTTCCAAGGAGTCATCCAGTTTATCCCTGTGCCCAAGGTTGCTGCCTGTGACTGTGCCCAGCAAGTTCATGCTCTGTTTTTACTGATCTCTTGTGAGCAGAGATTTTACAGCCTCCCAGAAAGTCCATAGTTACCTGTGGTCAATTTTTTCTTTCCCCAAAGAATTGTACCAAATTAAGCAAATAAAAGGTGAAGGTAGTCTTAATGAGAATGGCCAGGTGAGCAGGTTGTGAGCCCAACATCTCCAAGTACCACAGATAGCAACAGGAATAACTTCCAGGCATAAAAGTTGCAAAATCTGTTTTTGGTATTGGCTTAAGATGTGTAATCAGCATGGATAGTGATAGAGGGGGGGTTAACTTCATACTGTGTAGAAACTGTTTATTTCAGAAAACTCTGCAAGGTTTATATGGCAGTAAAACTGCCTTTCAATGAAAACTGTGCTTTTTTGATGTGTGCTTTAGTTCAAGGAACAACTCCAAATAAATTAAAGGTGCTACAATTCTTGTTGTCGTTGTTTTCTGTTCTTAATTCGGAGTGTTCGTGTTGGAGTGTTCCCTGGGACTGGTGCCTTGGTAGCCATGAGTGCACCATGACGACCCTCAGTACTGTACCTTTGCCTGTCTGTCACTGCCCACAGCCTCTGGTTCCCCAGGCTTTCCAGGGGGAATCCAACAGCCTGTGGAGCAGCAGGCAGAGAAGCCTGAATATTACACAGTGTTTTTTTTGTTTGTTTGTTTGTTTGTTTTTTGTGAAACAAAGCTTTTGAACAGAGAAGATGCAATTATTTCACCACCTCATAGATTTCCTTCCCAGCTCACTCACAGAACTCTGAGGACGGGTGCAGTCCCTCTTTGTGAGCTCCCAGCAGTGCTAAGCAGCATCCTTCCCTCACCCCATCCAGAACACTGTTGAACCTACACAGGGGTTTCAGTAATTCACACAATGGCATGCACAAGGAAATTATGTTTTCTGGTAAGATATGCAATGTACCCATGGTGTGAGAAGAGTGTTCTTCAGGAAAGCAATCCTAATCAGAAAGAACATAGAAGAGGAACTCCTACAAGATTGATGCTGACCATTTATTCAATTCTGCTAAAAAACCTCAACTTCTTGCAGGGCAGCAGGGTGCCAGGTGCACAATTTCAGCCATTTCTATCAGAACAACGTGGCATGCTGCTGCCATTCCTCACCCTCCTCATCCCTCCCTCCTCTCTCTCATCTCCAGAATTCATTTCTAACACAGTATGCAGTGTGTTAAAAATACCCAAAACAAAAAAAGTAACTGAAAGGGACAGCTCATCCACAGTACAGGCAAACAGGACTGTTCAGTGCACAGTGGCAGATGATGTAAAGTGCTTCACAAGGTGTAAGCATTCCGTGCATGCAGAGTGGGACAGCAGCACGGGCAAACCGATAGGCAAGGCAGTGTGTTCTGTTACAATGCCCATCAGCTGCTCTCGCTTCACAGAGCGCTCCCTCGTATAAAAATAGCGGCTTCCAGGTGGAACACAGCACTTCCAATGAGGTCAAAGATAACCGGATTCCCTGTTTAGCTGATCAGCTTCATCCTTCCCCACTTAACTCTACGATGACATCAGTTTAACCAACAGCCTTTTCCCCCTTTACCGGAGCGCAGTTTGGTCGGGACGGAGTTATCCCCAGGGCAGGCGGAGGAGCCCCCATCCACACCCACCCCCTGTCCTGGGACGATCCCCCTCCTGGCCTGGCCTCGGCACCTCCGCATCCCCCGCGCGGATCCCACCCCGCTCCGCAGACGGAGCGCTGCGAGGCTTTGGGTTTCGCGGGGACCTCTGTCTCCCTTCGCGGGGATGCCGGGGTCACCCCTCCGCCCCCCAAATTTGCGGGGATGGGGCTGCGGGGAGATGCTCCTCACCTTTGCAGACACGCGCGGAGGATGCGAGGAGGAAGAGAAGCAAGAGAAGCGGGGACCCCGGCAGCCCCCCGCCGCTGCCCGGGCCGCGCGGGGGGATGGCCGCAGGAAGCTGCTGCTGGCAGAGCTGCGCCATGCCCGCGGTGCCCTGTTGTTCCTGCCCGCCGTGTCCGTGCCCCGCTCCCTGCCCAAACTTTTTAAATCGCTCTGACACGTGGACGAGCATCACCCTGACTCACGGAGCACACGTCAGCCGCTCCGCCCGCCCCATCGGCCTCCCACCGCCCGGGGCAGACCCCCTCTGCACCGCCGGTGACTCAGCCCCGCTCCCGGCCCTGCGTGGCCCCGCTCGGCCTCGAGACAGCGGCCGAACGGCCCTTGCTTCTTCACCTCTCTCCTCGGGAAAAAAAAAAATATCTGCGCTTTAAAAGACGCGTGTTAACATCCACAGCGGTCTCACAATGAGCGCAAAGTGGCCGGCTGCCCCTTGCCGCGCATGGAGGGGGAGGGCGATGAGTTGGGGTGGTAGAGGTGAGCTTAGGGCTCTGCCTGATGCTACAACTGGAACCCCACCTGGCAGCTGGAGAGGTGCGGGCAGCTCTGATCGAGAGGAGGATGAAGCCAGGTGGTAAAGAAGCCACCAGATGTGCCTACGTCTGACTCTGCTTCCCCATCTACGTGTGTTCCAGGGCAGAATTGTGATTCTTTCTAATAGGAAAAGAGAATTTTCTGCAAAGAGCAGAATTATTCCCCAGCGTGAGGGTAGGGGAAGCTCTGCACAACCCAAACTGTAATGGAAACCAGCTTCCTATCTTGACACTGGGTGAGCCCTAGGACAGCAGAGAAGGCACACACACGCATGAAACACCACACCAGGTAGCAGAACTCAGCAATATGGTGGTACAGCCCATCTGAGGATTCAAAACTCAATGCAGTGCCACCAGCCCACAAGCAGTGCAGCAGGGTGTTGGGGTGGTGCCAGCTGCTCTGTGTCTTTGTCACAGGAGGATCTTCTGTATCACATTCAACAGCAAAGCTTTCCTTGATATGAGTGGGGACAGAATTAATCCCTCTGTTGATGAGAAAACCATTTATTGGATCAGAAAAGAAATCAAAAAAGCCTGTATTTTGTATTTATTATTGTACTTACATCTACCCGGTTAAAAGAGTTGTTTTAATCCAAAACAAGGAACTGCCTCTGGTTCAGATTTCTGTTAATAAAAACAGAAGATATTTATTTAGAAGACATCATCATAAACTGGAGTCATTAGAGCTGAAATATATCTCCCTAATTTATCTCGATCCAAATACATAAATCAGCACCCTGAGCCTTGGCCTATGGAGGGATTTAATCTGTTGTGCATTTTGCTAATTAATACCTTCTAATTAAAATGTTCAAAAAATGCTGGATGGGGCTGTGAGCAACCTGGTCTAGAGGGAGGTGTCCCTGCCTATAGCAGGGATTGGAACTACGTGATCCTAAAGTTCCCTTCAAACTCAAATCATTGTAAGATTGCTCAGAAAAATAAATTCCAATATTTTCTAAATTTGAAAGTTTAATACTATTCAACATTCTTATCCTGCCCAGTGGTGCAAATAACATTTTATGTATAGCACAAAAATGACACCACTTGAATTAAACTTATTCTCAGATGAGTTCAGATTAGCACAGAGGTTGTATTTGTAGGGGTTGAATTTATGTGATATCTGTTTTAAAATTGCAGACTGAACTATTATGCTGAATCCATTTGCATGAAAACATTAAAACTGTCTTTTGTGATAGGACAAGGGGAAATGGCTTCAAATGAAAAAGAGGGGAGATTTAGATTGGATATAAGGAAAAAGCTTTTTTGATAAGGGTGGTGAGGCACTGTAACTCTCTGTTCAGAGAGGTGGTGGATGCTCTGTCCTTGGAGAATGTCAAAGTCAGGCTGGATGGGACTCTGAGCACGTGGTCTAGATGTAGGTGTCCTTATTCATTGCAGAGGAGTGGGATTAAATGGCCTAAAGGGTCCCTTCCAATTCAAACAATTCTATGATTCTCTGAAATGCAAGTGAGCATTCTTGCAAATGGGAAAAAAAATGCATCTTTGTGTATCATGTCTGCTTTTGTTTTGTTTAATTGCTTGATGAAATTAATGTTACACTATTGCAGGAACAAAGCACATCCTAAAAAATAGCCTAGAGGATGTTTTGGATGCTGTAATTAGCTGCTTTGAAATATTTATTTTCTTCCTAATGTTGCTCGAATAGATGTTAATTACAGACAGTGCCGAGGAAGTCAAACAGCTGAGTATGTGGAACCATCGGCTTCTCTGTCTTTGCAGAAGCCAAGGTCAGGAGGCACAATACTGAATGCACTCCCTTGCTGTGCACATGCACACACTGCAAAGTGAAAGTGCATGATGGTTTTTCTAAGACTTTAGATCTAATAAAAATTATGAGGAATCATTCCACCTACTACCTACCAACATCTACCTGAAAGAAAAAAAAAAGATTTTGAGCATGATGTCAGTTATTGGCACATAATTAATAAAGTACTGAAAACTCGGTATCATTTTCAGAATTAGCATGTTTCATAAATAAGATTACACTAAGCGTGAAAAAAAAGCAGTAAAGGTGACACTGCTGACCCTGAGAAAATGTCATCCTGCTTCAACACAGATGTGAGATGAGTTGGTCTTACACTGGGACCTTTTCTCTTAAGGAAAGACAAACCAATGCTGTGGCCTAGCAATAATTCAGTTTATTTCACTGACAACAGAAATCCAGCTAGGAGGGAAGCACCTTGGAAATGTTCCATAGAAGTTGCATGTAAGTATTGGCTTGGTAGTCTGAAGGGAAAGATTATGAGGAAATAAGCTGTTACCATGAGGAAGTTCAAGCACTGGACCAGGCTAATGGGAGAAATGACATCTCTGTCCTCAACATCCAACTGGACAAAGCCTCGAGCAAACTTAATTCAGTGTTGAGTGTCATCACGGAACCTGAGTTGTTCTGTGGTTCTCAGTCTGAAGTGCTGGGCAGAGGAATCCCAACACTCTGCTGTCTTGGTGTCAATTTCTTCACTCTCCTCCCGAGAACAGAACGCTCAGTGGATGTCAATATTACTTAGAAATCAAATTTGTTAGTCCATCAGGCAAGAGATGAATAATGAATAGATTATGTTAAGTCAAAATAATGGTAAACAAAAATCAATTCTAGCAATCCTTTCATTCTTTTATCTCCCAGCTCTGGAAAGTTGCTCTTGCTATAAGTTCATCTGTGATGCAGCTTACCTGACGGGATGTAACGGATGCGACACAGGATATTATATTCTAAACACAGGATGTTATTTCTAACATTTTTTTAATTAAACCAAACACAAAATGCAGAAGAATGCCAAAAATAATCCACAGAGTCTTTAGAACTGCTCTCCAAATATCAAAACTCAATAAATTCCCCTTTTCTTGGTTTGGGAGCCTGCAAGATTGCTCATTGTATTTCTGCAGTTTAAGAGGTAACGTATTTCTCTGTGCAGAGTTGGACACTGGAAGCCAACTCTTCAATTCTCTTGAGATGAACAGCACTGCAGTCATTAATTTCATGGTGATGTCTTGAAAATTAACTATAATAAGAAGAGTTTTGGAATGCATCTTAGCTATCTGATCACAGACAGCATCATCTGCTACATGATCTTTTCACTGACTTTAAAATGAAAACCTGAAACTTAGAAAAGAATAAAACCCTTGTATGCATCATCTCTTTGGTTATCTTAAAGCTGAGTAGCATTCTGTAGAGATTGCTCACCTCATGCTGTCACTAACTTCAGATCAACTTCAATCTTGCAAAATGTTCCACATTGATCATCATCCCGAGCTCCTTGGCACAACGAATCTGCAGTCATATTTCTGGTTCTACTGAAAACTGTAAATGTTGAATTAGTAAAGCTGCAGGACTAACTCCTAATGGAAGTTCTTACCTCTTGGAAGGCAAAAGTAACATTTGCTTAGCTGCATGACTATATAGCTATATAGCATATAGTACTTATATAAGTATATACACATATACACTTATATTACACTTATATAAGTGTATACACTTATACTACTTACAGTGTTTGAGTTGTAAAAATGACACCTCAGAGAACTCAAAGCACCACTAAGCCAAATGGAAACTCTGTGCAACTTTTCTGCTATGAAAAAATGGGGGCAGAAAACAACCAACTTTCTGAATCAGGCCCAAAGCTACATTCTGTAGTACATTCATGCAGTTATTGGCATGGCAAAGTGCTTGCCTTGAGATGAAAGTCCTCAGTGATGTTTTTCTGAGCAACAACCATCCATGAAAAAGCAACAAAACTTCTGTCAGGAAAGATCAAGCTAACACATGTGATCTGAATTCTACCACTCGTTGCTCAGGTGCTGGGATGAGCTGCCCATGAGGTGATGGAGCCACCATCCTTGGAGGTGTTCAAGAAATGTGTACATGTTGTCCTAAGGGACATGATTCAGTGGGGCAATATTGGTGATAGGTGAATGATCTTGGAGGTCTTTTCCAACCTTGGCAAATCTATGATTCTGTGATTCACTCGTAAAGGAACTGAAGATCTCTTTTTAGCCATTTTTGATGCAGTCTTGTTTAAGGTTAAAACAACACTAAGTATGTCTGAGTTTGAATCACTATGTAAATTAACAAGCTCCATGAAAACAGAGGTTAAGATAACAGCACTCACCAACACACAATCGTGTTTCTTTTATCCTTTCCAGACAATGCTGTAATAAGACCAAGAACATCAACACCATCAGAGAGACCACAAGTAGCTTCTGAGCTCTGCTTTTGCATTTGCTGTGGCAGATTTTTACTGTCAGATCAGCTGAATCTCATTACTTTGAGGAGTCATGCTTCAGGAAGTGAACACCTTGAAATGTCATGACCTTTCCTTGACAAGAAAACATGTCACTAAGGAAAAAGGAATAGAAGTAAGAGACTGAGAATCACAATTAATGAAAATATATTTATTTCAATATAGATAGTAATGGACTTTATAATGAAAATACAATTGTCACTCCAATAGTTAAATTACTGAAATAGATAGAAAATATATGCACCGGTTTCAGTTGGTCAGGCCCTGGTAAAAAAACAAAATAAAACAAAAGGAGTTTCTCTCTGATACTCTGGTTTGACACAGGTGAAGCAATTCAATTGATTTAATAGTTGACGAAGCCCAATCAGTTGTCAGTTTATTTAGTGTCT